AAAACTGTTTTTTGCAGATTTTTGTAAATCTGTTAAAAATAAAGAACGAAAGCATACATTGCTTGTATTGAGTATTGATAAGTTTGATATGTATATATATATATATTTTTTTTTCCACTGATGTCTCTTGTTGTTGCTCTTTCCCACCGTGGGACTAACGAAGGATTATTTTATCTTTATCTCATCTCGTCCTTTATATGCTACATAAAGTGTTGTACTCCTCTCCTTTCGAGGATGTTGACATTAATACGTTTCATCATAGTCTTTATTTTTACCGCTTTAAGTATTCATGGAATCAACTCTTCAGACCTAAACATTCTACAGTTTCTGTGGTTCCCGTCCAACCTACTGTCTCTTAGTCTCTGCACCTATTTGTCTTTCTCCAGCTCGCAGTTCGAGGATTAGAATATTGTGTTCTGAAATGGGCTCGTCAGCCTGCCGGCCCCCGATAAGCACGTTCAGGATCGATTAGATCTGCCCTTAATCTATTCAACTCTTTCAGGGAAATAAAAAAAGAGAAAAGGGAAAATGCTGCGTACGGGAGATGTGAGGTGCGCGATACGGTGCCGGGGAACACGGACCCAGGGGGCAAACGCCTTGTAAGCCGCATTTCCAGGCACTCAAGATTGTATTAAATATGCATTTTTACAAGTCGTCTTTAACACGCCGCTCTAGGCCAATACAAGCTAAACAATTTTGTATTAAGCATGAAGGATAGAGATCATTAGAGAGAGCGAGATGCACACAAACACACACACACACGATTATGTAACGAAAGAGGCGGAATGAAAGAATTGGAATAAAGCGCTCTGTGTGCTTTCACCCATCGCTCCGCCGCTGAAACAGAATGCTAAACAGGCGAGTGGAGCCCGATGCGTCGCTGCCCGTCGCAGGAGGTTTGATTCCAGCCACCAGGGGACGAGACAGAGCGCCGGTTCGACCCCCGACTCGTCCGGCCCGCAGGACGCCGAACCTCAGGCGGTTCCAACGTGGGTTTTCCTCACATCGTAGGAAATACAAAGCGTGGGAACTCACCTTTAGCTCATTACTGGCGTCGGGTACGTTGAGGTTTTCTCCTCTGCACGCCGACACAGACCAGCCTGAGAGAGAAAAGGATGTAAGATGAATCACATGAAAGAACAAGCATTTATCCAACGGCATTATGGGGATGATGTTCAAGTATCTCACTGTCTGGGGGCTTGTCTACGTCGTAACATTCATCAGGGGCACAAGTGACAGTAAACAAAAACAGGGGAATAAAACGTGTTTGGCTTGTCGATGAGATTTTAAATCCATGCACAGCTGTCAGATATTCTCTAAGTCGAACGTCCACGTTTATAAGGAATGTTTCTGAGCCATTAAGTGACTTCATGAACAGAGACAAACACCTCGTTGGATTCTCAACAAGTGTTGGCTTTTCCCTCTGAAATCCATCGCCTGCTGCACTGTAGTAAAGCTGACTAAAATATCTATAATTCATGTGTTGCCTGAGCCGGTGCTGTACGGGATGTACAGTAGAGCGGCCCGCGGGCCGTTCGTGCTCGTTAGGACTCGAGCCGAGTGCACGGACCGCAGGCTCCACGTTAGCGGCGCTCTGACGCCGTTGTCTCGATTCATTACAGCTTACGTCCCGCGAACAGCAGCAGAGAATCTCATTGACTGTCTTCAGAGGTGATGTCTGGTTTGGACACATGCCATGTGCACACGCTGTATGAATCCAATACGTTAGCATGTGATGGAGCGCGGAATATGAAACTAAATCCGCCAAAACTGCAAGTGTGATTTATGCCTTTGCGCAGCACTACCGGGCCATTGTAATAACAAATTATTACAGAGACAGAACTCTATGTTGAGATGAATGACAGTGTGTCTCCATCGTCCTGTATGGCAGGAACGTCACTACGTTAACTCAACGTGGGCTACGAGCAAAGCTTCAAAAAAGGATGTCAACCTCTTTTCTTCCAGTTGTTTTATTGTCTGGCAGACTGAGAAAAGACGCCGGTCGGAATGTGGCATTCGACCTCTGCTCTCACCTCCATGGTTTTCATGTGTCAGGATACATAGCGTGTTCCTGCTGACATGGCAACACGGAGGCCCTTCAGAGCACCGGACTGTGTCTCTCCCCCCGTATGAGACCGCACGCCGAATCTGAGCCTTAATTAAAGCGGCTGCTATTGCAGCGAGTTTGCGTCGCCGCCGCGATGGCGACCCGTTGTTGTCATGCACTGCAGCTCGGTCAGGAGACGCACAGCGTCCACTCGTGTTGTGCATGCAGTCTCTCTTCACAAAACCCCCCCCAACCCGATCAACGTTTGGACCAACGACACGTCCCACCCCATACGGAGCCACTGCTTTGCGTGATTCCACTGCCGCCACAGTTCACCTGAGGTGTGCTGTGGGCGGGGGGACGAGCAGGACCTGCTCCATCAGTAACTACCAGTGAGAAGCCCTTGAGCGAGCTACTTAACCCCGCCCACGTCCCGGCGGAGCGGCCTCAGAGCCTGCGGGGGCCCGCTGAGTGGTTGCACGCAGCAGCTCCCATGCGCCGCCGAAAAGGAACGTTTCTCCATCTGTGAGAGCATTCAGCGGGTAAACGTGGGTCTGACATGGTAATGTGTCGCTAGCAGCCCCCCCCCCCCCCCCCATCCTTTAATTACGTGGGTTTGATGGTGCTTGAGTGAAGAGATGAGAGGATGAAATGGATATTTCATGACGCCGTAATGCCTGAAAATCAAAAGGCCCGGAACTGCCTTCATGTGCGTGCAGCATTTCTTTTATCACACACGGACGCAGACTGCGTTAAGGACCACCCCCCCACCCCCAACCACACACACACACACACACACACACTTTATAACAGCAGCCTAACATCAGAGGAGAAGAAACTCAACATTTCTCTCTTCGAAAGTGTTCAACTTTGTTACATCAACACATGTTGAACGAACGATGCCGTGTGGTTTTCATCGTGTTTTTCCTGGACGTAATGCTCGTGGATGCTCACTGTGCCGATGCACAATCAACCAGACCTTTTCACCATGCGACTGCAAACCACGGAGGGGTTACGAGAGCGTCGGCTCCGGCGTGAAATGGGAATAAAGGCGTATCGATCGGGAGCCAGCGGCTCGGCTGCGTAACTGTTTGCGCGTCCAGGAGGTGATAACATTGTGTATTGATTTGATTTTTGATGAATGGCATTCATACCCGAGGAGCGACGGATCTGGCGTTCGGTTTTCGCCGATAAATAACAATCACAATGCGAATGTTTGAGAGCTGATGTGCGTTCTGTTGTCGCTTAGTTTATCTACCCGTCATTGCAGAACATAATCTGAAACAAACTTTCTCTCCCTCACTCACACACACACACATGCATACGTGCACACACCTCTCATGTGCATGTACTGTAAATAGACAGCTTGTGATGCAGCCGTTGGCGAGTGTCATTAGCTAAAAGGTCTGAAGCTGGAGTGAGACCAGAATAATTATTCTGATTAAAGTCCTCTCGCTGGGCTCAATCCAAGCACATTACACTCTCCCAGATTAAAATCTGGTGTTCAATCTAGTTTCTAAATCGAGATGCGGACTTTACCCCGTGATGGCGGCCAACTGGAAGCTGGACGATGGTGAGCATTGTTTTTCCGGGTGTGGCTGGAGAGGATTAGTCTGGTGTCATTTATTAATCCTGTATCTCTAAACAAAGAAGCTTGTATTTGCAGTTCTGTGTGATATACTTATACGCTAAGTTAGAAGCCTTTTAAATGGTAGTAAAGTTGATTCTGTGGTATCTGAGCACCAGGGTCCCTTTAGAAAACCTCTCATTCTACGGGTCCCCCCCCCCCCCCCCCCCCCTCCAACACTGCGTTCTAAGTCTCCAGCAGCTCTTTGGGACTAACCTGACCCTTTTTCTAACAGAAAACCAGTTGATCCTTCGATGGGAGGTTATTTTATTTTCACACCTGTTGCCGATCATCTGACTATTTCAGCCGTGGACCCTTTGCGTAGATAAAGGCCCCTGTAGTCACCCTCCACCCACAGACAATCACAGAGCCATTTTCGACCTCTGCAGACATTCTGATGGAAGCTTCGTTGGAGGCGCTTGTCCTTCAGGACTGTCCTGACATGTTCCTCTCCGGCACTAACGGACCGTTGCAACATTCATCCCTCCTTTGTAGGCAAAGAGCCTCCAGAAAGATGAGCTACTGACATCGAATCCATGCCGAAACACCTCTCCTATGGAATCATCTCTGAATGGGTTTGTTTTTTTGGCAGAAAGTGACGACACGTATGAACGTGAACGCGAGCCCGTAACGGCGAGCGTGTGTTCGTGGGTTTGATGCTCTCAGTACGACTTCGGTGAAATGATGCAAGCAGAATGTGATCGTGGCTTTGAGGATCAGCGCAGTGGGTGCAGCTGGCAGCCACACACACACACACACACACACACACACACGCATCCATGTATTGGCTGGCGGGGGCTGGTGGATCCCAGCTGTGTCAGTGTTATTCATGCGCCAGTGTGCATTCACAGGTGCACAAACGCACAAACATTTCAGTGTGCAAGTTTTTACAAGCTGCTGAAAGGTTAGCGCGCACGGGTCCCTGCACGCCGCCACGTTGGCCAGCATCGTGGGAAAAAAACAAAAAGGGGCACATCCAGCAGTGGAGTGACGGGTCAGCAGTTCTGAGACCGGTCTGCATCCGGCACCGGCGCGTTTACCTGCGCGACTCTGATCTGCTCTCTTTGAACTTATTTTTAGTGCACGGTGCCTTTCATACATTTTATCTTGAGGCAAGCGTTCTCCTCCCCCTCCTCCGCTCTGACTCATTGCCGAGTCTAAAATAAAACGCTGCTCAGGAGATGCAGGTGGAAGTGGCGGGCAGTTATTTTACCGAGGATTGGCTGGTACCAGACGCTTCTCCTGCAGCTGCTGAGTATTCTTCCACTTCCTCACCTGAAGACACAAGCCCAGCGTGTGTCAGAGCCTCTGAAACCGCGCTGTGTGCTCAGAACGTGGTTTGAGAGATGGAAGTCCGTATGATTTGTGTTCTCCATCTCCAGTTGGGAGCAATTTCTTGTCTTGCTTGTGACTGGACTAGTTTTGTGCATACATTTTTATATTTGAGAAAGGAATCAAGTATTTTCCCTTTGGTCTGCAAAGTGCTGGTGTTGCTGACGAGTCCACTTTCTTTTGTTTAGCAGATATTCAATTTAGCGAGTGATGGGAAAGTAGAACCTCTGAATAATGTCGCGTCCGCTACGCGATCGACTGATTCTTGTGTCTTTCCGTCAGCTAAACGCCCATGAACACAAATAGGTTCATCTAAATGCACTTTGCAGCCGCGGCCACTTGAGCGGCCGGCGCCATCGCTGATTGTGCAGAATGTGTGAAGAGCTGGCGTGGGCGGGCGGGAGGTCACCGTCTGACCCGCTAATGCCTTTTAAAGCAGATTTAGATCTGATCAGCCACAGAAAGGTGGCCAGCCCCCCGGTACTCGGTTACACAGGCTCGACTATTCTAGTCCCTTTACTTCCCTTTATTGTGTTTCTAGATTAAAGAGAGAAAAAGGCAATGCAGTGACCGACTATCAATCACCAGCGAAGCGCGAGTCACAGTTGGATTGTGTGATTTCCCAGTAGGACACCACATCGTCCTCCGCTGGTTTAATGCTTGTGTAGCGATGGAGGAGGATCCCTCCCTGGCCGTGTTCTATGCACCCTGGTGGATAACGACACGGGGAGACCACCGACGCCGTGGGCGAACCCAGTGTGACAAAGTGCAACATCTGGAGCTGCGAGGCAGACGATTCTACACACACACACACACACACACACAAACACAAACACAAACACACACACACACACACACACACACACAACGGGCACACCAACTCCTCATGAAGCCAACATCATAACAGATAATGACGTGACCGAGGAAAAGCCATATATTCTAGTTGACATGTTGACTTCCAGAGACGGAGAAAAACGAGCAGGAGTCGCTTATGTGTCATGGTAGGGGGGGAGGCAGGGAGGCAGGGGAGGGGGAGGGGGAGGGGGATAGATGGATGACGGAAAGAGGAAACTGAAATGTGCTCTTATACATAT